CACGATATGGACAGAATGCGTAAACCAGCAACATCTTTTTCGTCCGCCTGGTTGGAATTTAGCTGTGCCGTCTTGGCTGCAGTACCGTGCTAAACGTTGCAAACGTCTTGATTATCATTTGCCTGGGCACCGCGGTCATTGATACTAATTCCCGGTTGGGTTATCTGTCGCAGATACAGTTGAACTGACTAAACTTTGCTCCCGCAAGCTCCGGATCGACTCCCACAAGTACGGTGCAGGGGAACATGAGATCTGAAAAATGTACGGGCGGAAGCGCTGAAGAATGGAGGCTTGGCTGTTGAGACCGTCATCCGACTGTAGCTCTGCGTTCAATTTCCGTACTCAGGTGTATGCAACTAGCGGAGGCGCTGTACAATCGCGGCTACATCAGGTAACGCAGGTAGCATGGAGCGTCAATTTGTCAGCTGTGGCACAGCCTCTGAGGGTGCTGGTCTGTTCATCAGCGCCGAAGGGCATTTGCGTGTGCTCAGTTATCCGCGAACGGAGACGGAGAGGTTTACGCGCTCTCATGATTTGCTGGGCCTGATCGAGCAGNGCTCAGTTATCCGCGAACGGAGACGGAGAGGTTTACGCGCTCTCATGATTTGCTGGGCCTGATCGAGCAGCAGCGGGACAGTCCACTGTGGGGACAATTTGCCGTCAGCTTGCTCGAGGGTGAGTATAGATTTGTTTTCTTCTTGTGTGCTTTCTGACCGTCGTGGGAGGTAATTGCGTTGCTTCTAGCACTGGTAAGGATTAATTAGCGCTTAATGAATATAAGAAAGGAAAGAATAAACAGTTAAGACCCACTCCCGTGTCGTGAAACGTTGTGCTGTTTTGCTACCTACGAAGACTATTAGACGAGTTTTAATTGAAACAATTTTCCCGAACGAATGTTGTGCGTAGAGTAGGCGGGAGGCCCATGAATTTGCTCCCTCTCTATCATGCTATTTTAAACCAGTTTTCGGAAGGTTTGGAAAAGGCTGCTTGTTTAGTGGCGCTGATGTTTGTGCGCCAGGTGGCTTCGAATGGCCTCGCGATGGACCTAATGACGATGCTGTGAGCTTTACATATATGCGTTCTGACGGTCGAGTCTCATTTGCACAGTTGAGCATCCCATTATACGTGAAGTATACTGTCCAGAAGTGGATGCCACTGTTTTGGTAGATTCATTGGTCGCGCAAGTTCTGTGGGCAGCAAATGCGNATTGGCTCCGGAAAAATTCTGCTGCTGGGTTGCTGCGCAGTCTCATCCACCGATACACCCTGTAAAGGCACTGCGTAGGTGAGCGCGCAGGGTACACTTCTACAATGTCACCAGAGGGGGCTCCGTATCCAGGCAGGTGTGCGACTCCCAGCGATAGGGCTTGTGATTTGTTTGTCTTCAAAAAGTTGGCATTTGTTGTATCTGCGCAGAGAAGAATGTGAAAATGACGATGAGTGGAAGGTCAGGCGTCGGCGGCTTCACGAGAACTAGTCTTGGCGAAGTAGCTTGAAGGAGGGCGGCTATGTGGACAGCATATATGTGTGCTTTTGTTCAGCTTTACGAGGCAGTCACCAGGCACTTCCTTGCCTGCTGCAGGTATCGCGGATTTCTAGACATTTTCTGAATTACCTGAGGCGTTAGTGTGTCCTGGGTTTTTGTTTTACTCTTTTAGCATGTGGGCTGCGACGCTAGTGCTGCCTTTTAATGTGGACTAGTGGCTGCCGTTTGCTCTGCCCTTTTCGCGCAGCTCGGATGCCATTGGCTTCGAGACCAAAATAGAGATGGACATTGCAGGTCAGCTGAATACAAACCGACATACCAAACGACTTTGTCGTTGTCATCTGCCTGTTTGTGCTCCTGATCCGTGTCAAGTGGAAATTCCATGACAAATGGGTCTGGGGCAGCGGTGCAATTGCTGCTGCTTTTGTTACGTTGGTGGTTCTCTAGGGGAGACGTTTTCCACAACGGGACTGGTCGTGTTGCAGAAGAACTACCTGGAGGTATACCCCTACGACACGTGGTAATTCTGAATGTCCCTTTTCTCTACAAGCTAACTACAGTATAACTCGGCTAGACCATCCCACTCTTGTAGCAAGCTCCCCTGTCATGGTGCCAACCGTTCCCAGCAAGTGTAGAGCAGTAGCAAGCAATAAACTTCACAGCCTATACGGCAGTGGTGCTCCGTCTGGCGTTTATACTTTGCTTCAGTTTTA